GTGTAAATGTACTACAGCTTTCTTATCCACTCATCTACTGATGAGCACTTGGGCTGTTTCCAGATCTTAGCTATTTTAAAAAAAATAATTTATTGATATTTTACAGAGAGGAAGAGAGAGGGATAGTTAGAAACATTGATGAAAGAGAATCATCCATCAGCTGCCTCTTGCACACCTCCTACTAAGGATGTGCCCACCAAGGTACATGCCCTTGACAGGAATCGAACCTGGGACCTTTCAGTCCGCAGGCCGATGCTCTATCCACTGAGCCAAACCAGTTTCGGCCAGATCTTAGCTATTGTAAATTGTGCTTCTATGAACATAGGAGTGTATACATCCTTTCTGATTGGCGTTTTGGGTTTCTTAGGATATATTCCTAGAAATGGGATCAATGGCAGGTCCATATTTAATTTTAAAAAAATATAGTTTATTGATGTTTTACAGAGAGAAAGGGAGAGGGATAGAGAGTTAGAAACATCAATGAGAGAGAAACATCAATCAGCTGTGCCTCCTGCACACCCCCTAACTGGGGATGTGCCCACAACCAAAGTACATGCCCTTGACCGGAATTGAACCTGGGATCCTTCAGTCTGCAGGCCGACTTTCTATCCACTGAGCCAAACCAGTTAGGGCCCATATTTAATTTTTATGGAAATTCCAAACTGTTTTCCATAATGGCTGCATCAGTCTGCATCCCCATCAGCAGTGTACTGGAGTTCCCTTTTCTCTACCTCCTTGCCAGCACTTGACATTCGATGGTAACCATTCTGAAGATATGAGGTGATACCTCATTGTCATTTTAATTTGCATCTCTGATGATCAGTGATTGAGCATATTTTCATGTTTCTTGGCCATCTGTATGTCTGCTTTGGAGAAGTGTCTATTAGGTCCTTTGCCCATTTATTATTATTTTTTTATGCTTTTTTTTTTTAGTATTTTTTTATTATATTTTATTGATTTTGTACAGAGAGGAAGGGAGAGAGACAGAGAGCTAGAAACATCGATGAGAGAGAGAGTCATCCACCAGCTGCCTCTTGCACACCCCCCACTGGGGATATGCCCGCAACCAAGGTACATGCCCTTGACCGGAATCGAACCCGGGACCCTTCAGTCCCCAAGCCGATGTTCTATCCATTGAGCCAAACCGGTCTCGGCCCTTTGCCCATTTTTTTAAATTGGATTGTCTTTCTTTTGTTAAGTTATGAGTTCCTTATATATTTTGGATATTGACCCTTTATCAGATGTATTATTGCCAAATATGTTCTCCCATACCATGGTCCCTTTTCATTTTGTTGATGGTTTCTTTTGTGCAGCAGCTTTTTTTTTTTTTTTTTTTTTTTTAAATATATTTTATTGATTTTGTACAGAGAGGAAGGGAGATAGAAACATTGATGAGAGAGAGTCATTGATCAGCTGCCTCTTGCACACCCCCTACTGGGGATATGCCCGCAACCAAGGTACATGCCCTTAACCGGAATCGAACCCAGGGCCCTTCAGTCCCCAAGCCGACGCTCTATCCATTGAGCCAAACCGGTCCCGGCAGCTTTTTGTTTTGATGTAGATCCATTTGTTTATTTTCTCTGTTTCCCTTGCCCTAAGAGATGTATCTGTAAACATTGCTATGAGAGATATCTGAGATTTTGCTGCCTATGGTTTCTTCTAGGATTTTTATGGTTTCATGTATCTTAGCCATTTGAGTTTATTCTTGTGTATGGTGTAAGTTGGTGGTCTAGTTTCATTTTTTTTTTTTTTTTTGCATCTATCTGTCCAACTTCCCCAACACCATTTATTGAAGAGAATGTCTTGACTCCATTGTATGTTCTTGCCTCCTTTGTCAAATATTGAGCATAATGGCTTAGATCAATTTCTGGGGTTTCTTCTGTTCCTCAAAGATTGGGGTTTCTAGGGCCAAACTCAAGATACCACCTATTTGATAACATTTTTACAAGTCTGAATATCAAATATTGGTAGTCATGTTAAAAAAACCCACAGGAACTTTTAGATCCTGGGAGTAAAACTGATTATCATTATAAGGTTACTTGGCAATATTATTTTACTAAAATTAAATGTACATATCTTATGAACCAGCAATTTCATCCTGTAAACATTCCTACACATTTCCCAGAGAGATGTGTCAGAAAGTTCATCACAGTTTTGTTTATAGTAATGAAATTTGAAAATAAAAGGTAACATGAAAATGAATTGTGCCATATTCATTTAATGGAGTGCTGTACAGTTAAAATAAGCTGGCATCAAATGAATTGAGGAGTACGCTCCAAAACAGTGGTGAGCCAAAAAAAAAAAAAAAAAAGTTAGATGGCATCATATTGTGTATCTTGTGTATAAATTTTAAAAAATGTAAAACAATACTAAGTATGATATATTCATGTAAAGCAAAAAATGTAAAACAATACTAAGTATTGCCGAAACCGGTTTGGCTCAGTGGTAGAGTGTCGGTCTGTGGACTGAAGGGTCCCAGGTTCGATTCCGGTTAAGGGCATGTATATCGGTTGGGGGCACATCCCCGGTAGGGGGTGTGCAGGAGGCAGCTGGTTGATGTTTCTCTCTCATCGACATTTCTAGCTCTCTATCTCTCTCCCTTCCTCTCTGTAAGAAATCAATAAAATATATTTTAAAAAAACAACAAAAACAATACTAAGTATGATATATTCATGTAAAGCAAAAGTTTAAAAACAGACTTGGAAGTTTTAAACAAAATTCAGGGCAGTGGTTCTCTTTAGAGAAGGGAGAAGCATGTAGTTGGTCTATAATTTTTATTTAAAAAAAATAATTGAGATAAATGCAGCGAGGGTTAAGATTTGGTGTTTTTCTTAATTTTGAGTTTATATAGGATGCTTTTTAAAAAGTAAAACAAATTTTTTAATCTTCCATTGAAAAAGATGGTCAAAAATACTAAATACTAATTCACTCAGAAACTACAATTGAAACAAGAGCTACTTATTTTTTTATACTCTCCCAAAAGGTCAAGGGCATTTTTACTGATTTATTGAGAATGAGAAGATGGAACAGTACAAGGATGTGTAATATCAGTTTTCAGGAGGAAAAGAAGTTCCAATAATATCTAAAACGTTCTCTACCCTTTCTAATTTTCATAGCGCTCATATGTAGGTATTTCTCTTCTTTACAGATGAAGATATGTGTCTTGGAGTCTTAAATGACTTGCTAGAGTTTATTGGATTTTTAATGAAGAAGCCCTTCATCAAATTAGTGGTAGAGAGCCAGGCCAAAGTGCCCGTGTGTGCCTTTCCCTGGGTTGCTTCTCCCATTGTCAGCTGGGTGTTCATGGTTAGAACTGTGGATGTTAGAGCAGGAACTTGAACCCAGATTTTTCATTTCAAGGCAAACTAAATGCTTTGTTCTTGGATCCCGTTATTCTGCCTAGAGAGCTATTACTGAAGTTAAATGCCTTGTGAATTTACCACTTCCTTAGAAGAAAAAATTGTTGAAATGGCATCTGTGTTTCTAAAGTATGTGTTTTTACATTACTTGTCTATCCCTTCTTAATTATTCAACATACTTTATGTTTCAAATCTATCCTTTTTTCTCCCCATGATCTGTTAATGCCAGCATTTGGACTTCCTTTTAAATTGGGGAAGTGGATCTTTAGGATGGTGAGGTATCTAAGATCATTTACCGATTCTATGAGTTAGAAACTACCATCTCCATATCCCTGAAGTGAAAGACAGTGCCCTGCAGGATAAATCAGTGCTAGGAGAAAAGCCAGCTGTAAATGGCCAAGAGGTGTATGTGACAGATGTACCGATTATTAGAGATTGCCAGGCCATCTAGCTAAAGCAGTATAACTAGAAACAAAGCAGGGTCTGTCTCTACCTAGCTTTCACCCCAACTATATTGTTATATGCTTCAGGCCAGAGTAAGACGAGGGACAATGGTACCATTACTAAAAACTGTTATAAACTTACAAACTGTTTATCAGACTTTGAACTGTGAAATTTAAAAAGGAGCAAGAAGACTTTTTAAATTTACCCACTTAAAAAAAAAGAAACTCCACTCTTCCTAGTAGAATCTCCGTCAACTATCAAATCTGGAGGTTCTGGGGTTATTCCGTTAGAAAAAGTAACATATACTGCAGTTATACAACAGTCTCCCCAAGTGCAAGCTGAAAATACAAAACTCGCAACCAACCATGACCAGCGTCTACAGTGACTTTTCCACAAACGGTGCTACACTGCTTATAACCGGTAAAGGGTTCAAATTGACAATCCTTACAGAAAAAAATGTCTCCATTAATTTATTCGTCATTTGCTGAATAACAAGGAGCTTTCAGAGTTGACAACCCCGCCCGCTCCAGTCCCGGTCGTTGCCCTGAGACAGCCAGCGGGAGGAGGCGGGGAGCGCAGCCGGCCCCCCAAAGGCAGGCCGGGCCCGCGCCCCCACCTGCGGCCCCGGGGACCTCAGCAGCGCACCGAACACTGCGGCCCTCCGGCGCCCGAGCTCCGCGACCTCCTCGCAGACCCGCCCCGGGCGCGCGCCCCGGGCTGGAGCGGCCCTTCGGCCTCTCGCGAGAGAGCCGGGCGGTGCCTCCCCCACTCCGCAGCCTCTCTCTCCGCCCCCAGGCTGACTGCGCCGCTTCCTCGGAGGGCGGAGGCCTCCAGGGTGCAGGGCCTGGGCCTGGGCCGCCCTGCGTGGCCCTCGGCAGGCTGGCCTTGCGCGCCGCGGTCAGGTCCCCGACAGGACTCGAGCTCCCCGGAGGGACGGGAGCCGGCCCGGGGGTCGCTGGGGTGGAGCCGCGGGCCGGGCGGTGGGCGCCTCCCCTGCGCGGCGGGGCGGGGCGGGGCGGGAGGTGCGCATGCGCGCGCCCCGCCAGGGGGCGTGGCGGCTCCAGCGACGTTGCGCGGCGCCTCCGGCGGGCTGATCGCGCTCGCGGCCGGCCGGCTAGCTCCGTCGCTCCGGTGGCGTAATTTCCCCGCGGGTCTGCGCCGCCTCTCCTCCGCCTCGGCTCGGGGCGGGTCCGGAGAATGGCTTCGGAGATGGAGTCGTCGCTGGAGGCGAGCTTCACGGCCAGCGGAGCGCTGACAAGTTCCTCCGCGTTCCTGCCGCCGGCGCGCTCCCGCATCTTCAAGATCATCGTGATCGGCGACTCCAACGTGGGCAAGACCTGCCTGACTTACCGCTTCTGTGCCGGCCGCTTCCCCGACCGCACCGAGGCCACCATCGGCGTGGACTTCCGAGAGCGAGCCGTGGAGATCGACGGGGAGCGCATCAAGGTGAGCGGGTGGAGGAGCGTCTCCCCGGGAGGGACTCCGGGATGACAGGTGCCCCAGCCCCACGGCGGGTCAAAGGCTGGCACCGTGCAGGGTACACGCTCCTTCGTTTCCCATGCTGACGTGGAGACTGGAGTTGGGGATTGGAAGGGTTTGTGTATAGCAAACTACTAAGGCAGTGCTTCTCCGACTTTCATGTCATGCTAATTGCACAGGGATTTTAAAAAAAAAATTTTTTTTTTAAAGGCAGGTTCTGCTTGCTAAGGTCCCAGGTGCTGCAGATGCAGCCAGCCCCGGGACCAGCACTTGGAGTAATGAGTGTAGGGGCATCCACTGACTAGTTGTCAGTGTCTTTCTTATTTCTGAGAACCAGTGAAGTCAGACCAAAGGAATTTCTCAAGCATGGGAAATTCATTGAATAAATATGATTTATTAAACAGTCATCTGAGCGCTTCCTGAGATTGTGGCAGTAAAGCCCTGTTGCCTTTGTAGCAAAACTTTACATCCAGTTTTGCTACAATAGTTTCTGTATAACTGTGAGTTGTTTGGAAAAAACCTGTTTTCTTGCAGAAATATTCTTTACCTGATTGTTCATGCTTGGGTGCCAGAAGCACATTCTTGGTACCACCTTCTCCTAATTCTTTTTTTTTTTTTTTTTTAAATATATTTTATTGATTTTGTACAGAGAGGAAGTGGGAGAGATAGAGAGTTAGAAACATCGATGAGAGAGAGTCATCGATCAGCTGCCTCTTGCACACCCCCTACCGGGGATATGCCTGCAACTAAGGTACATGCCCTTGACCGGAATCGAACCCGGGTCCCTTCAGTCCCCAAGCCGACGCTCTTTCCATTGAGCCAAACCGGTCTTGGCCCACCTTCTCCTAATTCTTATTGGTGGCTCTGGAGACTAGGAACACAGAAATAGTGGAGAAGGCAGAAAGCCCAAGGCCAAGACTGGGATTCTGAGGAGCTGGAATAGGGCAATGGAAAAGGAGGATCAGGGACAGGGCCAAGGCCTCCTGATGGTATGAACCTTACACACACTTCTTCATTGCAAGCCACCACCAACTCCTCAGCCATCTAATACCACCCCTCAAAACATGTGCACTCTAGGAACTGCCCTGCCTTCCTTATACCACCTTTACTTTTTTTGCTTTAAGTGAGAATGTTCATCTTTGCCTCAGTATCCCGGGGGGTAGGCGCTGTACTGCATTCCTTATCCCACATCCTTGAAGCCGAACAATTTATTTTTTAGTTCTCTAACCATTGTCGTACTCCTCATCCCCAAAGAGTTTGTTTAAATGCTAATGATGGTAAAGGAGAAATAGGGTTGAAAACAAATCAGCTTTCTATAGGTCCTTTTGCTATTTCATTTTCTTTTTAAATAAATCTTTATTGTTTAGATTATTACAATTGTTCCTCGTTTTCCCCTCCCATAGCTCCCCTCCATCTGATTCCCACCCCACTCTCTGCCCTTATCCACCCCCCACTGTCCTCATCCATAGGTATAAGATTTTTGTCCAAAAAAAAAAAAAAATTTTTTTTTGTCCAGTCTCTTCCTGCACCCCCATACTCCTTTCCTCTGAGAATTGTCAGTTCACTCCCTTTCTATGCCCCTGATTCTTTTATATTCACCATTTTATTATTTTCATCAGATTTTTTATTCACTTGATTTTTAGATTCACTTGTTGATAGATATGTATTTGTTGTTCATAATTTTATCTTTACCTTTTTCTTCTTCTTCCCCCACATTTCATATTATACTGGTTTAGTGGTGATGAACTCCTTTATTTATTTATTTTTAAAATATATATTTTATTGATTTTACACAGAGAGGAATTGAGAGGGGCAGAGAGTTAGAAACGTCGATGAGAGAGAAACATTGACCAGCTGCCTCTTGCATACTCGCCACTGGGGATGTGCCAGCAACCAAGGTACATGCCCTTGACCGGAATCGAACCTGGGACCTTTCAGTCCACAGGCCGACACTCTATCCACTGAGCCAAACCAGTCCCTGCATGAACTCCTTTATTTAGCTTTTTCTTGTCTGTGAAGCTCTTTATCTGACCTTCAATTCTGAATGATAGCTTTGCTGGGTAGAGTAATCTTGGTTGTAGGTTTTTGTTGTTCATCACTTTGAATATTTCTTGCCACTCTCATCTGGCCTGCATAATTTCTATAGAGAAATCAGCTGACAGTTGTATGGGTACTCCCTTGTAGGTAACTAGCTTTTTTTCTCTTGCTGCTTTTAACATTCTCTCTCTGTTTTTTGCCCTTGGCATTTTAATTATGATGTGTCTTGATGTGGTCCTCTTTGGATTCCCTTTGTTTGGGGTTCTCTACACTTCCTGGTCTTTTAAGTTTATTTCTTTCACCAGGTGGGGAAAGTTTTCTGTCATTATTTCTTCAGTATATTGTTCTTTCTCTTCTTCTGGCACCCCATAATTCTGATGTTGGTACACTGAAGTTGCCCCAGAAGCTCCTTACACTATCTTCATATTTTTGGATTCTTTTTGGTTTTCTGTTTGGTTGTTTTTTGCTTTTTTGTATTTCAAATCTTTGACTTGATTCTTAGGATCCTCTAGTCTGCTGCTAGATCTCTGTATATTATTTTTTATTTCAGTCAGTGTATGTTTAATTTTTAGTTGGTCCTTTTACATATCCTTGAGGATCTCGTAATTTATCAGCCTTTTCTAGGAAATTCTTGAAAAACCTTATAATTGTTTTGAACTCTATATCCAATTGTTTGCTTTCCTCCTTTCATTTGTAACCTGTTTCTTTGTCTCTGCATTTTGGCTGCTTCCCTGAGTTGATAGAGTGGCTTTGTGTGCTAAGCCCCTATAGGACCTCCCTCGTTACCTGAGGTGGACACTCTTGGTGCATCCCTTTGTGGGTTGTGTGCACAGTCTGTGGTAGTTAAGCCTTGATTGTTGTTGGTATCACTGGGAGGAATTGATTTCAAGGGAATTGGCTGTGAGGATCAGTTGTGTCTATGCTGGGAGAACTTCTGTGCTGGAGACACCCTTATAAGACAAAATTTGCTTTAGTGGGTCCTTGGTGCTCACTGAGTCTGCCCCCTGAGTGTGTCCTTATGGACCTGAGGAGTTGTAATCTGTATGGTCTTACTCTGACCCCTTGGTACACTAGCTCTTGGATCTCCAAGGAGGTGCTAATTTAGCTTCTGCCTGAGGCCACTCAGCAGGAGCTATGGAGAGATCTGCAGATTCTTCTTCTTTGTTTGGGTTTTGGAGGTGCCCAAATGAGGCCCAGCTGTGAATTAATGCAAGCTGCTGTGGGGCCTTGGGCCTTCTTTTGGATGTTCTGGGTCTCTGATTCAGTTGCAGTTTATTAGGTAAGTTTAGAATTCAGAGGACCAGACCATTCATATGCAAAAGCCTCTGTGCTCAGCTTGGATGGGGTGGGATCTCAGGGCAGAGCAAGAAGCAATGGCTTCCAGTCAGCCCTGCCCTAAGAGGCCCCTGGGTCTCAGTGTCCCGCGGTAATTGCTGCAAGCACCTCTGAGAGAAAGCCGCCCTCGAGTTTCGCCTGATGCCAGACAGTCCAGTTTCTCCCCATATAAGTCTGGGTCCCCAGAGTCTCGTCCGGAACTGGAGTTCAGTGCAATCAGGAGCTTTTGTCTCCCTCCCAATTGAGAGTGCTAGCCAGGTACTCAGTTTCCAGCCCTTTCTGAGCATGAGCCTCCGTACTTTTGCCTTCCTCAGCTCCTCTGAGTCTCAGTGTGCTTTTCTCTTTCCTTCTAGTTGCAGAATTTCCACTCAACCAGCCTTCCTGTGGTTTTGGATGATGTCTGTTTTATCTTTATTTTATTTTATTTAGAGAAATATATTTTCTTTTCTTTTCTTTTCTTTTTACATGAAGGAAGGGAGAGGGATAGAGAGCTAGAAACATCGATTAGCTGCCTCCTGCACACTCCCTATTGGGTATGTGCCTGCAATCAAGGTACATGCCCTTGACTGGAATTGAACCGGGGACCCTTGGTCTGCAGGCCAATGCTCTGTCCACTGAGTGAATTGGTTAGGGCCCATTTTATTTTTTAGTTGCAGTTTTGAAATTGTTGTGCGAGGCAGCAGTTTAGGTGTTTTTCTATGCTGTCATCTTGGTTTCTCTACTGCTATTTCATTTTCACTTTCATTTTTCATTGTCCCATTGAAGTTGCCAGTGATGGTCCTTTGGGTGCACTGTATTAGGGAGTTAAGACATATTTGGATGCATTGCAGAGGAAAATACAGAAGAAGGAGGGGCTGAATATTTTTCATCAGAATTCAGTTAGGCCCAGGAACCTGTGAGAAAATGATGGGGCATCTGAGGTTTCAGAGGGTGTTTAGTTTGGAAGAAGCAGGAGTTCTGGGAGAAAGTGCATGGGCTTTGGAGCCCAACTGACCTGGCCCAAATCTGAACCTGAAAAGGGATCACAATGAGCTGTGTTCTTAATAGGTGACAGCTTTGTCCGAGACTACTGCAGTTTTAGAACTGGAAGCCCCAAATACCTCAAATCCCCTTATTCTCAGCAAACTGGGGTTGTTGGTTACTCTAGTCCTCAAGCAGGTTCCATGTCTTTTAGAATCTATTTTCTTTTTAATATATTTTATTGATTTTTTACAGAGAGGAAGAGAGAGATAGAGAGCCAGAAACATCGATGAGAGAGAAACATCGACCAGCCGCCTCCTGCACACCCCCCACCGGGGATGTGCCCGCAACCAATGTACATGCCTTTGACCGGAATCGAACCTGGGACCTTTCAATCTGCAGACCGACGCTCTATCCACTGGGCCAAACTGGTTTCGGTAGAATCTATTTTCTTTTCTGCAAATGACATGGTATCAGGCTGGTGAGGATTAGATGAACCATCAGGTTTATACTTGGTAATCTTTTTTTGTTGTTGTTAATTCTCACCCAAGGGTATTTTCCCAAAAAAATTTTTTTTGAGAGAGAGAGTATAAGCGGGGGGAGTGACAGAGAGAGAAAGATAGAAATTGGTGTGAGAGAGACACATTGATTGGTTGTCTCCTGCATGGGCAACAACCAGGGCCAGGGATGGAGCCTGCAACTGAGGTAAGTGCCCTTGACCAGAATCAAACTCGGGACCCTTCAGTCTGCAGGCCTTTTAAAAAAATATATTTTATTGATTTTTTTTACAGAGAGGAAAGAAGAGGGATAGAGAATTAGAAATATCGATGAGAGAGAAACATCAATCAGCTGCCTCCTCCACACCCCCAATTGGGAATGTGCCCGCAACCAAGGTACATGCCCTTGACTGGATTCAAACCTGGGACCCTTCAGTCCACAGGCCGACACTCTAGCCACTGAGCCACACTGGCTAGGGCCATAGCTGGTAATCTTCCCTGGTGGCTTCACATCATTATTCTTCTCTGTCACTATCAGTTCTGAAGCATTATAACTAGAGAGTGAAGCAGAGATAAAGCAGGTCATAGGCTGACAGCTGAAGAGGAGAGAAATTACCCCCAAATGGGAGCAGAGTGTTTTTAAAAAATAAGTACAGGGCCATGGCCAATTTTTTCAGTGGTTAGAGCATCAGCCCTCCAACTGAAGGGTTCCAGGTTCGATTCCGAATATTCAAGAGTGCACACCTCAGTTGTAGGCTCAATCCCCGGTTGCAGGCTCATTCCCCAGTCCGGTTGGGATGCATGCAGGAGGCAACCAGTTGATTTATCTCTCTCACATCGATGTTTCTCTCTCTCTGTCTCTCCCCCTCCCTTCCACTCTTTCTAAATATCAATGGAAAGCCCAGCCAGTAAAGCTCAGTAGTTGAGCTATTAACCATGACCTATGAACCAGGAGGTCATGGTTTGATTCCCGTCAGGGCACATGCCTGGGATGCAGGCTCAATCCCCAGTGTGGGGCGTGCAGGAGGCAGCTGATCAATGATTATCTCTCACCATTGATGTTTCTCTTTTTCTCTCTCTCTCCCTTACTCTCTGAAATCAATACAAAAATATATTTTAGAAATCAACGGGAAAAATATGCTGGGGTGAGGATTAACAACAACAACAGAGATAATAATAAAAAAAATAAATAGAGAGAAGGGAGGCAGGGGAGGAGTTGAGATTTGATGGCCCTTTACCTGTTTCTGGATTGCCTTTTATACTGTAAGATCACAGATGAATCAGGTACAAATTTCAGAGATACTTAGCAATGAAAAAATATAAAAATATGTCCAGTGTATAAAGTTGAGTACTTTACTGGCATAAGTGCTGGCAGTGATAAGTAAGCCAAGGCCGCTGTGTGATGAATATGGGAGCGTGAATATATTTTATTGATCTCAGAGAGGAATGCTGCCTCCTGCTTGCCCCCTACTAGGGATCAAGCCCTCAACCTGGGCATGTGCCCTGATCGGGGATGGAACCATGACCTACCCGTTCATAGGTCGACGCTCAACCACTGAGCCACCACAGCCGGGCCTGTTAAATAATTGTAATTGTGGAATGGAAAAATTTCAGAGAACATGTTTTATAGCAGTGACATTTCAGGAAATGTCATCAAGTCTATATTTGTTCATCTGTTCCTAAGTACATTATACAGGGTGTCCCCCAAAATGAATACACACTTTAACAGCTGATATCTGTTACATTTTGAAAATGTATTTTAATAAACACTGCCTTTACAATTATTCAGAGTGTGTATACATTTTTTTTTTGGGACACCTGTGTATGTATGGCTAATAGAGGGAATCCAGGGGGAGGCTCAGTATGTCCCTGTACTTAGCTTTTCTATCTGCCTTCTCTCCTTTAGTAGTAGTCTCTTCAGCTGTCACTTCTATTACTAAGATAACTTCAGAACTTCGATTGGGGCATACCTCTCTCCTTCTCTGTCATTCTGCATTTCCTATTGTCTTCTAGACATGGCTATTTGGATAATTCTCCTTTGTCTCAAATGTCTGAAGGAATCCATCTTTTTGGCAAATCTGCCTCTCCTGTTTATCTTCAATATCACCCGGAGGAAGAAAGAGGGTGACTGCTAAAGGTATAGGGATTCTTTCTTTCTTTTTTAAAAAAATATATTTTATTGATTTTTTACAGAGAGGAAGAGAGAGGGATAGAGAGTTAGAAACATCAATGAGAGAGAATCATCGATGAGCTGCCTCTTGCACACCCCCTACTGGGGATGTGCCTGCAACCAAGGCACATGTCCCTGACCGGAATGGAACCTGGGACCTTTCAGTCCCCAGGCCGATGCTCTATCCACTGAGCCAAACCGGTTTTGGCATAGGATTTCTTTTTGGAGTGATAACATCTTTTGGAATTAGATAATGATGATAATGGCACTGCTTGGAGAATATACTAAAAACCACTGAATTATATATTTTAAAAGGGTAAATGTTATATGTGAATTCTATCTCAGGTGTTTTTTTTTTTTTAATTAAAAAAGCCCACTTTAAACTCTATCTTTAACATTTCTAAAGATATTTTAGAAATAATGTGAATGACTCATATAAAAGCTGTCCAAAAAATTGGAGCTGATCTTTTCTTTTTAATAGCATTTTCTGTGGCTCAAATATTCAAAAGTGATATCATCAATGAAGAATGATTTGTAATGTTTGAAGCATAGTCTATAAGTTCTTTTTAAAAACCCACGAAAAGGAAATATACCCAAATATTAACAATGGTTATCTTTAAGGCAATTTCCCTCTTTATTTCTATCTTATTATATTTTCTGTGTGTCTCTTTTACATTCTTAAAACATAAAAAAAAAAAAAAATTACTCAGAATTTAGACCTGCCTCGAAGAACTGTCCTCCGTAATGTAAGTAATGAGGAGGAGGAGGATGTTGATCCTGAAGGCAACCTTTGTTTGTTTTATTTTGGGATGGGATTGACTCACCCATATTCCTCTTTCCACCAATCCTGCTCAAAACTCTGTGCATTCTAATTACACCAGGATATCCGGGAAACAGAGGTATGAAATAATAACTTCATACTTTATTGGAGAGCCATGAAGGTAATTACTAAGTTATCGAGGCATTTACTAAGGACCATTTACAATATCTCCTCTGTTGTTGCTCTATGAAAAGTCACCAGTTTAGGCTTCCAGTCCATACTTTGAATATCTATACATTGTACACATCTTTCAGTTAAAAGTTATTTAAGGAAATAGGATTTTAGTATTTTCTACTGTGACCAGTAAACCCTCATTTACTAGTAACTCCTTTTTTTTTTTTGGAAATAAACCAAGGCAGGATAATTCAGTGTTTTGAGATCACACAAGATTTATATTTAGTTTTAGATAAAAATTTTCCTCAATTATCCCATATTTCCACTAGGAGATAGTGTAATAGTTTTGTTGGTAGAAATGTTTGAGATAGATAAGTAATCTCACAGATTTAAAAAAATTTCAAGAGGGCCTGGATTTCATAGAATGTATATATTTGTTAATTTGGGGGTTAGACTCCATGACTCTTAACATTTGTATTGAAAAAAAAAAAAAAAATATATATATATATATATATATATATATATATATATATATATATTTTTTTTTTTTTTTTTTTTTTTTTTTTAAATCCTAACCTGAGGATATTTTCTCCATTGCTTTTCAGAATGTGGAAGCAGTGAGGGAGGGAGCAGGAAAAAGCGAAGGAAGAAAGAGAGAGAGGAACATTGATGTGAAAGAGATACATCAACTGGTTGCCTCCTGCCCTTGCCCCAACCAGCTGAGGGTGGGGAGCAAGCCACAACCCAGATACATGCCCTTGACCTGGAATTGAACCTGTGACCCTTTGTGGGGGTTGATGCTCCAACCACTGAGAAACACAGTCCTGGACAAGTCTTTTAAATTAGCCTTGTGAAGGATAGACAAGGGCATATAATAACCAAATTTATAGCAATTGGACACTTTTTTTTGTTAAAATCTGATATAGTTTTCTCTTAATATTTTAAAATTCATTTTTGGAGCAACATTTCATCCAGTCAGATCTGATTTACTGAGATTTATTTTTATTTATTTATTTTTAAAAAATATATTTTATTGATTTTTTACAGAGAGGAAGAGAGAGGGACAGAGAGCTAGAAACATCAGTGAGAGAGAATCACCGATCAGCTGCCTCTTGCACACCCCCTACTGGGGATGTGCCCGCACCAAGGTACATGCCCTTGACCGGAATCGAACCTGGGACCTTTCAGTCTGCAGGCCGACGTTCTATCCACTGAGCCAAACCGGTTTCGGCTGATTTACTGAGATTTATTTATTATTTTATTTTATTTTTAAAAAATATATATTTTATTGATTTTTTACAGAGAGGAAGGGAGAGAGAGAGAGAGCTAGAAACGTTGATGAGAGAGAAACATTCACCAGCTGCCTCTTGCACACCCCCTACCTGGAATGTGCCCGCAACCAACGTACATGCCCCTGACTGGAATCGAACCTGGGACCTTTCAGTCCGCAGACCGGACTGAGCCAAACTGGTTTCGGCTGATTTACTGAGATTTAAATGCTCAGTTGAAATATTTGTTCCGTTACTTGCACTAATTATGAGGTTTGTAGACTAACACCATGAAATTTAGCTCCCATAAATAACACAGAAAAGGTGTTATGGAAGAGAACTAAGTGAGATAAGTGAAGAAGTCCTAAAGACCATGCAGTGACTCAGATTTCCAGTATGAATCATTGGAATGAAATTTCCTCAGTGAAATAGGAATTTCCGTTTCCTCTTCTTTTTTTCATGTTCAGATCCAGCTGTGGGACACCGCGGGGCAGGAGCGCTTCAGGAAGAGCATGGTGCAGCACTACTACCGGAACGTGCACGCCGTGGTCTTCGTGTACGACATGACCAACATGGCCAGTTTCCATAGCCTGCCGTCTTGGATAGAGGAATGCAAACAGCACTTGCTAGCCAACGATATACCGCGGATTCTCGTGGGAAATAAATGTGACTTAAGAAGTGCCATTCAGGTACCTACAGACTTGGCACAAAAATTTGCTGACACACACAGTATGCCTTTATTTGAAACCTCTGCTAAAAACCCCAATGATAATGATCACGTGGAAGCTATATTTATGACCTTGGCCCATAAGCTTAAGAGCCACAAACCATTAATGCTTAGTCAACCCCCGGATAATGGAGTTACCCTGAAGCCTGAACCAAAGCCTGCGATGACGTGCTGGTGCTGAGTAACCGTCTTTATGATGCTGTTGAATATTACTAAAGAAACACTTTCAAAGTATAGCAGTGATAGTCGTAAGATTTACTCTCAAATGTAATGGATCGTCCTGGCCCGTCACTGTTTATCATTGTCACGCTCACTTCTGTCTTTGGTCTTTACGTAATCGGGATTGTCACTGGCAGCACAACTAAGACGTTGGTTTTTTCAGGTGAGGTTGAAAAGGAAGCAAAGGTAGGATGGTCAGAACATCTTTCTGTCAGAGCCCCGTGAAGGAGACTCCAGGTGAGAGCACCATGGAGTGTCAGAGTCAGTGACTGTTCAGGCCTGTGTTCCTGAGATTGGAAAAAAAATAGTAAGGGATTATACACACTTCATGGTGTGTCCTTTGAGAAGTATTCTTAGTAGGATCCAAACTTGTATCTGCCTCTCCCTGGAGTCCTCTTTTTGTATTATTAGTGGCTTAATTGTATTATTATTGGTACATTTTAGAGCTAGACTTTAGTTCCGGTGGGAGGAAAAGGCATAGAATGTTTTCTGGGTCTCAATTCTTAAACTACTTTCCCAGCAGTTCTAGACACTTACTATTTCTAATCAATGCCAATGAGTTCTATAGAGATCATTGTTATTTTTAAGAATAATTTGAATTGTTTTCTTACTAAATTCTATTAAATTACACAAAGACAAGTCAAATTCTAGTGCAAATGAAGTGATATAAGGTGCTTTATATTTTATTATGAAATATTTAAACAGTAAAAAAAAAAAAAAGGAATCAAAAGCATACGAGATTTGTAACTTGAGGGAATATAGGTAAATGTGGTCTGGTTATCACAGGAGACTTATTGTTAGCTTTTAGTAATTTCAGGATGTGTCTCTGGCATAGAATCTCCTGCTCCCTCACCCCCAAACAGCTTAATGGCTCAAGACTGAATAAACAGCTTAATGGCTCAAGACTGAATTAACAGAATTCTCAGAGCTACAATCCAAATTCTATTTGGATTGTAGCTCTGAGAATACACCTCTAATTGCTATGAGTGTACATATAATCCTGTAATAGTATTGTGTTACAGTACACCCATTTTTTAAGTCTTTAAATTTTATGGCCACAATATGCTATTCCTCCTCAGTATAAAAATCAAGTTAGATATTGAAAAAAATCTTGCCTATCCTTCAGTGGGGGAAAGAACATTTCAAAATGTTTTTTTACCCTAAATAACTTTGCTTTGAATTTAAGACTTTGCACATAGAAAATAGTAAACTTGCATATGAAACTTACATGAATGGAATGTAAGCCATGAACTTTGACTGAAATGTGCACATTGACTAATTCTCATAGATTGCTGTTCTTGATCATTTTAGAGAAATCAAGCCAAAAGATGATTGTACTTTTATTCAGAATGTGGGAAATCAATTAAATATGTATCTAATCTAATTTCGGATTTTTGTTTTATTGTCATGGTGGTCCTAACTGAATAATTATAAAATGAGATAATTATATTAAATGAACTAAAAGTAATAATTATAGAAAATAATTGTTCAGTTTTAAATATTAGAGCTTAAGGAAATCAAGTTGGCTTTATTTGTGTTTAGAGAGATTAATGCATTTTTCTTATGTTAAAATTAAAAATGATTTGACTTTATGTAAATTCATGTTTGAAACTTTTTAAAAAATATTTTTTATTGATTTTTTATAGAGAGGAAGGGAGAAGGATAGAAAGTTAGAAACATCGTTGAGAGAGAAACATCGATCAGCTGCCTCCTGCACCCCCACCCACTGGGGATGTGCCCGCAACTAAGGCACATGCCCTTAACTGGAATAGAACCTGGGACCTTTCAGTCTGCAGGCTGATGCTCTATTCACTGAGCCAAACCGGTTTCGGCTGTTTGTAACTATTTTTATAGTGAAACAGTGACAACTGTAATAATTGTGATGGGTGTGGTAGTTTTTTAAAGAAAGGAATCTGTGTATTGCTTTTCAAAACATTTTTTATAGTGGGGAAAGAAAGTTTACAGACTTCCCAAGCACATTTATGTTTTTTCATTATGTTATGGTTTTTAAAAAAGGAAATTAACTTTATTTCTTTTTAAAAAACTTAATAGGAAGTATTCTTTATAGTTCTGTGAAAGGATTTATTTTTTCACTTTAATATTTATTAATTTAAAGTTATTTGTATCTCATTTGTAATGATTTATTGTTTTAATTTTTTCTATGTATGTTTTGTCTTTTAAAAGAACTTACATCTTAATTGAATGGATAAAGCTTTTAGATATTTTCTAAGATGTTTATAAAATAGTTCATTGACTATTGAGAAATCACTTTCAAAATGGTGGCTATCAAACAACTATTAATTTTAAGCACAAATCACACATTTTGTAACTCCTGTGTGAATTTATTTGAACTGTGACCTTTAATTGAAAACATCGATTATATGTTGGAGAAGCCACTTTGAGAACACCAAAGGAAACTAATCCAGAGTCCAATGTAGCTAGCTATTAATGACAGTGCTTTATTGACAGTGTACGGCTATGTTTCCTTATGAAATCTCAACTCAATGCTTTTGTTTGGAATCATGTCACTGTACCATTTCCTTCATGAAGTTCAATAAACCAGCTTTGCTGTAAAGAAGTTGTGTTTCGTTTGGTGCCATTTAGATGATTCCCTGGTATCTTATGGCAGAGAAAAAGACTTAACCAACTAAAAGATAGGCTAGCCAAAACCGATTTGGCTCAATGAATAGAGCGTCGGCCTACGGACTGAAGGGGTCCTGGGTTCGATTCCGGTCAAGGGCATATACCTTGGTTTTGGGCACATCCCCAGTAGGGGGTGTGCAAGAGGCAGCTGATTGATGATTCTCTCCCATCAATGTTTCTAACTCTCTATCCCTCTCTCTTCCTCTCTGTAAAAAGTCAATAAAATATATTTTAAAAAATAAATAAGTAAAAGATGGGCTAGACATTTTCTTTCACAAAATGACACCATTCAAATAGTTCATCATTTGTGTAGTGACAGGTGTCTGGGATGTATTTCATACTAAGGAGTATGCTACTTTAAGAAAGTTTTATTTATTTATATATTTTTTTATATTTTTATTGATTTCAGAGAGGAAGGAAGAGGGAGAGAGACAGAAACATCAATGATGAGAGAGAATTACTGATCGGCTTCCTCCTGCACACCCTCCACTGAGAATTGAGCCCACAACCGGGCATGTACCCTTTACTGGAATTGAGCACAGGCTGATGCTCTATCAACTGAATCAAACCAGCTAGGGCAAGAGTTAGTTTTAGAGAAACAAACATAATCTATCCCTTCCTGGTGACTCTTTGGAAATATTTCCATCTACTGGGCTTTGTTTCTGAAATCTGTGTTACCTGTAAATGTTCTCCTCTTTGAGCATTTTAAAAGTTAATTTTCTGCTCTCTTTCAAAATGTTTCAAACTAAGACTTACACTAGAGTTTGGATCTATTTGTTAAAATAATGCAGCCTGGCCAGTATGGCTCAATGGTTGAGTGTTGGCCTATGAACCAAGAAGTTATGGTTCTATTCCAGGTCAGGGCACATGCCCAGGTTGCAGGTTCAATCCCCAGTGTGGGGTGTGCAGGAGGCAGCCCATGAATAATTCTCTGTCATCATTGATGTTTCTATCTCCCCCTTCCTCTTTAAAATCAATAAAAAATATATTTAGAAAAATGTCAATGCAACATCCAGTTAGTTTTTAAGAATTGGGGACAGGGAAATTTAGTAAATGAATTACAGTAAAAACCTTAGTGTAGTTGGTGGGCAGGATTGAAAACTCCAGGTGATAATATTCTATTTGAACTTGAGGATCTTTATGAGGTCTTTCTTCCCCCCGTAACTTTGACAGCCATTAAATGCAAGTATCAGCATACACTGGATTTAGCAATAGATCATGAAGTGTTAAGATTTTCAAAATAATGAAGCATATTAAATCCCCCCACTTTCATTCCATTTCTCCCTAGAATACCACTGTGGAGAGGGGAACCACTTTCATTAATTCTGCTTCTAGGAGCCTTGATTTCATATAATAGGGTTTTTACATCTTCACAGTCAGTATTTAGCTTTTGATTCATTTGTCTTCTCCACAACCACCCTTTTCCCCTAAAGTGTTCAGCATTTGATGATCATTCATGTCCTTAAGTGATTCCTCTTGATTCTTTAACAGTTTGGCTCCAAGTGGTTTTAAGAGGAAAAACATTCCTGATGTGATGGTTGAGTCATGCCTGCTGGAAATGAGCAATTCATGCCCAGCACGAACCGTAGCAGCACTGCATTCAGACTTTGCTGAGAACATGTGTCTTCTGGGAGTTTTGTTATATGAAAGTAAAAAGTCACTCTGCTTTTAACGCCTTTGCTAAGCTTAAAAAAAGTCAATTCTTTATTAAGAAAACAAAATACTTAAAATAGTTAAAATTCTCATTTTTCTCTTGAATCATCATGCAAGCAAGGTTCCTCTGATTCTAATAACTGAATCTCAGCAAGACCTCTACAAATCATGTCTCCCAGTTTCCCCACCTGCAAAGTGGGGTCAGTAATAATACCTGTCTTTTTTTTATGCCTTAAGACAGTTATTAGGTTGACTTACACTAATGAAATCCTCTTGGAAGCATAAAGAGGACTCCTTCAACTGAGAAAGCAGTGTCTAATACAGACTTCTCCACTTTCTCTTGTATTTTTGTCTTATGAGAGCCACCATCTCTAAATTTCCTGAATTTAAATTAGATACTTATGATTTCAGATACCCTCCATAGCAGAAACAAAACAAAAAGCTACCAAACTCCTCCAAATTGTGGGTCCCCTCCTGGAGTTTCTGACCAGTTCAGCTTCTCAGATTACATCTTGTAACTCCTGTCTTAGAGGCTGGGCAGCATCGGCAGGAAGGAAACCTTTGTCTCTGAGAAGCAGCTTTTCTCTCTCACCCTTTCCACCCTCTGAGCCTCAGGACTCCTTGCTTCAGCCCAGGTTTGGGAACTTGGGCAATGGCAGCTGCCTC